GGAGCAGGCAAACAGACACAGTGTTGAGCATCAAAGTAAAATGTGCAGAGCAGAGTTTGTAGAACGTGATCAGGATGTCTTTGTGGTAACATGACAACCCTGTCACGTCAAAAGAAAATAGTAATTTGATAGTTTTTGTCCCAACACGTGCAGCGCAGGTTTGTTCCATAAAGTGAATACCTGTCAGCTGTTCCAATCTGAATGTGATTTTATTCTGTTTTAATGGCAAGTTTTCAGTTAAAACGGTTTACCTTGATTCAAAACAGATTCATTTTCAATGAGATCTGATGACCCGCAATATTCAATACTTAGTATTAGGTGGAAATTAGAAGTCGCCTCAGATTCCCCCTCGGAGGAGCTGGAAAACGTTGCTGGGAAAAAGGAAGTCTGGGTTGACTTACTGCGCTTGCTGCCACCGCGACCCCGACCTCAGATAAGTGGAAGAACATGGATGGGAAGGATTGATGGATATGAAAATAATAGGGAATACAATTTGAAAAAAAAAAACCTGTTCATGATGCATTTCAGATTGGCATATCATAAAAGACTGGACTATTGTCATTGGTGGAGGTCTGCTCTCTCCATATTTGCTTCTCTTTGTTTTAGTGTCCAGTCAAGTTTCAGAACATTTCAGCATCAAGGCAATTCAAAGTGCTTCACACAAGTCATCTAAAAGTGTGACGTCCAAATCTTTAAGAAGCCAATCAGTGATGTGTTCAGTCAAAGGAAATTAGAGCCCGACCGATTAATCGGCCAAACGATAATATCTGCTGATATTAGTTTATACAGAGAATACTAGTATCGGCCAATTTTAACACAGCTATGAACCGATATTTGTCGTAAAATAGCATTTCAATTGAGCATCACTGTACTACACTAGCAGCTGACTTTCTGGCCGTCACCAGCAGAGGGCGCTTTATGGATCACAACAAGCATATATACAGTAACCCTTCAGAGTGTCAGGCGGCGATGCACACACATGCGCAGCGACTGCCAAATTGAGTGATGATCTTGTCTTCAATAAATGTGTTTTCCACAATTTGAGGGATCAACACAACACATATGTATATCTATCTATCTATCTATCTATCTATCTATCTCGACAGATCGAACAAAGATCTAAGAAAGATATCGGCCAACATATCGGTATCAGATTTTTTTTTTCCTCCCCAATATCGATATCGGTATTGGCAACAAAAATCCCACATCAGTCGTGCCCTAAAAGAAAACCCTGTTATGCCTCAGTAGGGGTTTTAGAATATATTCACCAAATTCAACGAGGAAAACATTTAATTCAACCTTTAGCCATCGTCTAATTCGTAGGGGGTCTACGTTAATAAAGACCAAAAATAGCATGTAACAAATGTGTCTTGTACAAATTTGTTTGCAGAGCTGTATTCAACAAACACTGATTCAACGTACTGTAGTAGTCATAGTTGTGTGTTTTAGTTTAGACACTGCAGTAACCGAAGTATAAATACACATATCAGAGTACATCCAATCAGCAAGCACACAGTTATAAACAAACACCTTACACTGTATCTTCAATCATTGTATAAACATTGTATACATGCTTTAATATGAAATATCTGTCAACACTCACTCTCTCTCTCTCACACACACACACACACACACACAGCTCTCGTGTGTTGAGGAGGGGAATCAGAGTTCAGAGGTTAAGTACAGAAGCTGTCCAAATCAGTAGGTCAGCTGGCAGACAGAGGAAATGACGGGCTTAATGACGGGCTGCTGCTGCTGCTAATGACTGCCTGTGCACCGCTAGCTGGGTGGAAGAGGAGCCTGACTGACAGATACACACACACACACACACACACACACACATGCAGGTGCACTGTCACACACGCTCACAGATTACAGATGAAATCAACCCCTCCGCCTCTCCTGTTCGATGAGCTGTAATTGATGGTGAGACCAGACCCTCGAGTGCTGATCGGTGGAGGCCCCTCTCACTACTTTAACAGCCCATTAGCAGTTATTAGAGGGTCCTCAGGGAGCTGTACGGGTCACAACACACATGCTAACCTGGCAGAGATTAATAACCTGACAGATTTAATAGAGAAGATGCTGCTGGGATCAAACTCAAAAAAACCTGTGACTCTGGAGAGGATGCAGCTGGATTTAAGAATTAATTATTTAGACAAATTCTTTCAGTCATGCTAGATTTTGACACAGCTAGCTGTTTATGATATATTACATATACTGTATATATATATACATATATATATATAACCTGATATGGAGGCATAGATGCATTGTACCTCCTGCAGAAACATAATAGGAGGAGATCAATACAAACGGACAAAAAGATTTCCAGGCACTGCTCTTGTGATGTTTGAGAAAATGGTCTGTTGTTGAAACAGGAATAGATTGCAGCATGTAGAATTCAACTTAACACTACTATGATCAATCGAAACAGGCAACTAGTTTGGACTTTCTAAAAACTACTTTGTTTCAAAACAACACATACTTTATTGTTCAATTAACACTATGATTACAAATAGTTGAGTTTTTAGTAAAATGTCCAGATTCCATTGTTTTGCATGTAAATATTTGTATTTAATGTGTCAGGTTGTGTCTTGCAAATGTTGAATTATTGCAGTTTATCATTTCAGTGTTGTATGAGGCTGAACGCATAACATAACATGAATAACTATCATAGAGTGAATTGGGTTTGATGCACTTACATTTCACAGTGAACGACTCGAAGACAAGAGCAGTGTGCTAAAAAGTTTAAATTTAATACCTAAAAAAAAAGTTTTCAATATCAAAATGATACAAGAATAATAATATACAAAGATTATGATTTGTGCTTAACTAGAGGTAGAATACTTTTGGTAAAATATATCGAGTAAAAAAGGATCATAATACTATGGAATATGACTTTATGTAACTAATGGAACGAGAAGTCAGAATGCCAGTGTAATCCTATCTACCAAGCACACACACACACACACACAGGCACACACACAGGCACACACACAGGCACACACACAAGCACACACACACACCTGTTCTGGGGAGCGAGGGGTTGAGGTTGTTTGTTGCTAACAATCAAAGCAGCGATGCATGCCGTGGGACTAAGTGACTGGAACCCTCCAGGCAGACTGACACTCTGCCTGTTAGTGAGTGGCAACACCGAGATAGATCATTTCCCTTTGTGCTCCAATTGAATTTTAAACCAGCGCGTTTGTTCCAGTGCAAATTTTGACATTTCAATATGCCAACAGAGAAATCAGCTCATTTGAATGCGGCTTGCTTGTTTCCCTGAAGAGAAGACGCAGAGGGAGGAGGAAGAGTGTGAAACTTTGCTGATAGCAAAGATCAACGGTGGCATGGTGTGTGCAGAATCCACCAGATGAAACAGCTGAGCACCACACAGTTAGAAGTGTGTGAGTTCACATGTATAACCGCTTTTATCAAGAATTCAACTCACAATAAGGAAGTTAAAGACTTCATACTCAGTTTGCTGAACGAATGAACAAATTAAATCCACTTTAAAAGTGGTTATATTTTTCACACTTAAATATAAATCACACCGAGTCCCACTGTCTGTGATGTTTTCAGAGTCCTATCTTCACTTTGTTTACATCGCCAGGAAGGCCGGCTGACTCCTCCCCTCGTGTATAAAAGTTGTTTAATTGAGGGACTAGAGAAAAGAAGAATAACATACTGTACTCACTGCTTAACTGTGTTTCTAGATCACGCTCATTTCAGGTACATTTACATGCAGTGTGAAGATACCAGTATAATAAAGATCACTAGCATTAGCATGCTAACACAACAATGCAGCGCGAGTTGTTTTGGTTTCAAGCTGGTGCTCAAGGGCGACATCTGCTGGATCATAAAAATCACATATAAAGTCTTTAAAAGACTGCTTTAGAGATGAGATCAAACGTATTCCTGATGTTGGACAGGTGTACGTGTGTGAAGATCCTGTTCTTTCTTTTGGTGCATATAAAGCCTTTAAAGTCGTGATTAAATTAGTTTGGGTGGGGCGCTGGTGGTGCAGTGCTTAGTGCGTGCGCCACATGTATAGAGGCTTTGGTCCTCCAGGCGGGCGGCCCAGGTTCGAATCCCGCCTGTGGCTCCTTCCCGCATGTCATTCCCCTCTCTCTCTCTCCCAGATTTCCGACTCTATCCACCGTCCTATCTCTCCAATAAAGGCCCAAAAAGCCCAAAAATAAATCTTTAAAAAAAAAATAATAATAAAAATGAGTTTGGGTTAAAGATATAATTTGGCAGTTTACAGAAGAAGCTCTATTACTGCGGTTACCCACTCTTACAATACCTTACACTCTTTTTATCAGCATTGTGCTCTGATTAATTGCTTGTTCCCTTATTCACACGATACCTAATTATACAGACACAGATTGGAGGAGTTGATACCACACTCACAGGTAAGGTGTGCTGTTACAACCTTTACGCTGTAGTCTAGAGCAGTGGTTCCCAAAGTGGGAGTCGGGACCCCCTGGGGGGTCGCGAGACACTGGGAGGGGGGTCGCGAGTTGCCTTCCAAAAACAAATGCAAAATGGAAATGACATATTTTACCCATTATTGTGAAATTACATACAAAAATGTTGTTCAATTAGTTTAAGGCTGCTGTATTTTTTTATTGTTGTTCTAATGTCAGTGTTTGGATCGGCCCATTAGTGCATGCTGCTGTGTGCAACGTTATGCTTTAACCACTTCCAGGGACAGAAGGGGTCCCCGGTCTCTCGCATCGTTATTTTGGGGGTCGCGGGATATAAAAGTTTGGGAACCCCTGCTCTAGAGGACCTTTAGAGGTTAACAGAACAGTTCAGAGAAAGGAAAGATAAAAAAGGAAAAAAGGTGCCAAAACTGGTCTGGGTTAGTTTGCATGATGACATACATTTATTTCCTACAATGAAAATGATCTAACAACGCTGAAGCTAATTAAGGCAACACATTCCATTAATCATTTTATATCCATTGAATCTGATGCATTGCATTGTGGGTCACTTGGCGAAAAGTTGGCACACATGAGATGGATCATTTGATGGCATGGTTAAAAATGTCAGCACTGTTTGAGGAAGTCCTTCAATGTGTTACTTGTATAAAAGTGGTGAAATGAGAGTGTATGAAAACTCTGTAAAAAAAACATTCATTCAAACTTTACCTGAGGTAAAATACGACAGCATTAAAACAAACAGATAAAACAAAGAAATACAAATAATAACCCAAAGAATCTATTTGTAACAGCTGATTAAACACATGACACTTATTATTAGTTAATATTCTTATTGACACATTCATATGTTCATCACTTTAGTGTTGCAGGTTTAAAGTTAAAAACTACATTTAATCAACCTTGGAAATTAAATCAAAGCAGACTGATCCCCACCTTTATAACAGAAGATCATTATCTATTTGGCAATTCTATTTGAATAATTACTCTGCAAAAGCTTAGTTACAAGTTCCTTCAGTCATGGAATTAATTAAGTGCAGTATAAAAGTACAGTATCTGCCTTTAAACTCATGTGGAGTAGAGTTATAAAGTATTAGAAAATAGAAATCCTTGAGTAGAAAGATAGAGTAACAATGATGATTTGGTGATATAGACTCATTTAGTCGTTCAAGACACCGTTCTTGTATTTATTTTTAAGGTTATTTGGATGCAATATCTCAAACAGTAAATCCTCTATACACACATTAAGCCACATTACACGGTCAACAGGTCTGTTCATCTATGACATCATCTCGTCCAGTTATAATATTCTGATCCCTGATTTTTGTGTCTTTATAGTTTTGTTAATAAATATTGATTTCACTTCACAGGTTAGTTCTGTTATGATGTTGATTTTCTCTGTTACAATGATGTCATTTTAGAGAAACTGACATTTTTTTGAGAGGCGGGCATACATTTTTGCAACCTTAGTTATCCAAGATGTACTTCACATCCCAAAGCATTTCTCTAATATAAGATCCCTGTTGTATTATTAGAACTTGCTCAGTTGAGTTTCTGTGTACTACATCAATATCTTGGCCACTGAAGCTTCATGGGAAATGTTGTAAGTTGGAATCCATCTCCATGACATGAAACAGAAAATTAGACTCAGAGATCCAAACATCTTCATCCACATTAGTGAGCTGTTTGGGAGAGACTTTTAGCATAATGTGATTTCTACACTCTAATCTAATATTCAGTCCATCCTACATTACTGCTGTGATTGCTGAAGTTCTTCATTGGACAACTTTCAGTAAACTTTACCATTTCTTACCATGTCAACTTTTAGTGTATGACAAGTTGTACAACCCACACAAGATTGTAAAACTAAGGTAACTGTATTCTACCTTCAGAAAAGGTACACAAAGCATGAAAAGTCTGAATACTTTTGTTTGTCGCACTCTAGTTCATAACATATCTTAAAAAAACAATCCAATCAGCCCTGCATTGTGTTAGCATGCGTGCATGACAACGTAAATGTACTTAACAAGTATTCAGATACTAATGACATGGAAACTTTATCCCAGCTTTCTCAGTATCACATGTCGCATCAATGAAACTTCATCTAACACCTTCAGCGGTTTAAATCTGGCCAAAAAGGATTGTCGCCTGAAGTTGTAACCCAAACTGAGCAAACACAATAGTTTGTCTCCTGTTGTAATCTCTGAATTTTAAAAACAGAATCAGTAAAACTGTTGAGCGGAGTTTGTTGAGCTGCTGAAATATAATAATTATAAGTTACAAACCGAAAGAGGTCTAAAAATGAAAAACGTCTAAACTTTTTGGTTTCAACGATTAGTCCATTTAAAGAAAATTCATAGCCATCAAAAGCTGAAAATATGATGATGTAATTTTTTCAGCCTGATGTAAAACACTAGTTGGTATCACCTTCTTAAATGTAAGAACTTTATGCCCTTTATTTTATTTGACATGTTTGTAAATGAAAATGTTAAGATGTCGCTCTGGGAGTAATGAGCGTTTATCGCATTACATTTTAAATACAAAACAACACATTAAGTAACTGTGAAATCAACTGGCCAATGAATCAGTTATAAAACAGTTGCTTGTTGCAGACTTGATCAAGATGATGAACCCAAACTCATAAAAGAATAGAAACTTCAGAGCTAAAAGCATGAATGAAATAAATGTATTCCATGTTCAAAGCGGACTAGAGACAATGTGATTCAGGCACTCGAGATGTCACAGGAGAGATAAAACGAGTGTGGAGGAAAAAAGGTGTCTTTCTTAGAGACTTAGATACAAACAGAGATGATGAGAAAGTGCAAAGAAAAAGAGAAACATCCCATTATTTGTATTTCCGTTATAAGAATTGAACTCACCGGTGTGTGTGTGTGTTGCAAGACGAGACTTCAGGAGACGACCCATTCACTGTGACAGGAACAAATCTGTAGGCCAGAGACAGAGGACATTTAAATGCACTTTAATGACATTTCATACAGAATTTCTCTTTTTGTCTTCTTAAGGACTGCCACTTATTTTCATCAAAACTGGACCTATCATAAATCAACTGTCAGTTAAAGTTATCATGAAAATATCTAGTTATTAATTTCACTTCACTACAGGTAAATAACCCGCTTGTTCAGCATCTGTTTATATTTTGTTTCTAAGTTTAGTATGCACAAAAGGAAATGTATGGTTATTCCAAAAGGTCTGACCTGTAATAATCCACTGCAGCAGTCTGCCCAGGTGTCACACAGGTAATAATCCAGCAGATCCACGCAGGTAAAGCGTCCTTCAGCAGTTCAGGTGCTCCACTTCAAAACATCCTTTTCCTCCCTCTCGTAATCCGTCAGCACAATGATCTCCTTCTCTGTATCTTCCATCGCTCCTCTCCGGGAGGTGTTGCATCTCGTTGTATGGGGAGGGGGGCTGGCTGGACACACCTGCAGCAGGACAACAACAGGTAAGGAGGAGATGAGCAGCCTTTTAGTGCCGGTAAATCCATTCTTCTTTCATCCCTCTTCTCTCCTCAGCAAATCGACAAACTCTGTCTCTTCCTCGGAGTGTCTCTGCCAAGAGTAGCCGGGCACAGTTGTCCTGTTTTTTGCCGCTCTTTGCCAAACACACATACACGCACATACACAGAGGAGAGTGTTGTTTTTTTTTTTTTTTTTTTTTTTTTTTCCTCAGCAGCCGAGCTAACCCTGAGCCGGGGCCCGGTCTGCCTTTGAGATGCTCTCTAGCCCACAAACACAAGACGGCTTTCATTATCTTGCCCGTCGCAGCGCAAGGCCTAGCTTCTAAAAGCTACTGATTTCTTTCTTCCCTTAGCCCCCTGCACAAAGGGAGGGCATTTTGTAAATTACTTGCTCGTTTCAGACCAACAAAAGGTACTTTCATTGAACCCTCATTCCCTCCCACGCCCCCCCCCACACATCCCCCCCCCCACAACTGCTCTCTCTATCCTCCCGCCATTTGATTTTGCTCAAATTTGATTACAAGGCTTGAAAAAGGAGGAGAAGAAAAGAGAAGAGGAAATAAGAAAGCCCCACAGATGGCGTGTTCATTCAGCGCTGTGAATGGCTTTATATGGGCTGCCTTTATAAATGTGGCAATCCAAAGACGTTTCAGCCGCTCCACTAAAGAAAGAACTTGACAAAATTATTGGTTTGGCGGCTTTCTTACACGAGTGACACGTGGAAACTCTGGAGAAAGAAAAGCCTGCCGTCTCTTTTCTCTCTCTCTCTTTCTTTTCGCTTGCCTTGTCTCTGCACCTCGCGCTCTTTTTCCTCTCCCGGTCGTACACCTTAATCAAAACAAACTAAATGAGGCGCTTCATTGTGAGAGGAAAAAGTGTGTTTGCCTTTTCTGTATGTGTGTGTGTGTCATATTTAATAACCACCTGCCTGACCGAACACAAGGACAAATTCCAAGACAACAAAGTTTCATTTTCAGCAGAATGGTCAGGAAGGAAATTATTTACATGAAACACACTCTGACCACAGGATTTTTGTTTTTTTTCAAACATCCACACTTACACACACACATCCTGCTCAAATCAAACAGCTCAGACTCGACTTGAAAACATTAGCCAACACAAAGCACAGCTCGTTTTGTTCTCTCTCTCTCAGGCTGTAATCCTGTTTCCACAATGGACCACTCACTCTGCACTTGTTTTCCTCAGGAGGATAATTATAGGTCTGTAGTTACACACTCAAAAAAACGCGCACACACGGACAGCTTCAGAGCTCACACACACACAGACATTTTCAGCAGTGGAGCAGCCATTGGAGAATGAACTATGACTTTTCATCCCATTAGCATATCATCACATTACAGAGTGTGTAGGATGGAGTGATGGTCTGAGACCTGGTCTGGTCTCTCTGGCTTACAGAGACTAATGGACACAGGGTGTTGGTAAAAGCCTGGACCCAGTGACCTGCTGTCTTCAGGTCCAGGCCATATCAGTCCATCAGTGGGAGAAAATAGCACCTCTCTCACTCTTGAGATCAAAACAACCGGTCGTCTTTCATAGGAAGAACTTTGATCTCCATTTCTTAACTCGTAGCCTTCACTTTGTTTTTCTTCTCTTTCTGATATAGACACGATCTGATTCATTCTCTGCATGAAACCTGAACTGTACGACTCAGAAATGAGCAAAGACCGTAGAAACAAGCCGTAATTTGCAATGCACCAAAAGAAAGAACAGGATCTTCACACACGTACACCTGTCCAACATCAGGAATACGTTTGATCAATCTCATCTCTAAAGCAGTCTTTTAAAGACTTTATATGCATTTTTTTTGATCCAGCAGATGTCGCCCTTGAGCACCAGCATGAAACCAAAACAACTTGCGCTGCATTGTTGTGTTAGCATGCTAATGCTAGCAATCTTTATTATGCTGGTATCTTCACACTGCATGTAAATTTACCTGAAATGAGCGTGATCTAGAAACACAGTTAAGCAGTGAGTACAGTATGTTATTCTTCTTTTCTCTAGTCCCTCAATTAAACAACTTTTATAGGTGAGGGGAGGAGTCAGCCGCTGTCCCGACGATGTAAACAAAGTGAAGATAGGACTCTGAAAACTCTGAAAACATCACAGACAGTGGGACTCGGGTGTTACACCCATTGTAGACAGTCATGACTCACAGAGTTATTTTCAGAGGATATACTTGATTTCTACATTTAAGTGTGAAAATTTGCATATTAAGCCTTTAAAGAGGACCCAAAAGCTGACTGCTCTGAGGCATGAGTCACTGACTGATATCGTCAGCATGCTGAGATGCTCAAAACAACAAAATGCTGAGTGCTCATGAGGTTTGATTTTAACAAGGGAAGTATCTTTGGTTGTGAGTTAGCATGCTCAAATGTTCCCATTAGGGTGAAACATCAAGTACAGCTGAGGCTGAAGGAAATATCATTCATCTAAAAGGTCTTGGGTCATAAACTATATTAAATGTAATGAGTTGATGTGGTGGTAGATCACACCTGAAAGCATGAATGAAATCAATCAAATCTTACGGATTGGATTTATGTAAGTTATTGGGGAACTTCATTGGGTTTAACAAATATCATGACAATTAGAGATGGGACCGATTCAATATAATATCGGTACGTATCAGGTCCGATATTTAAGTTGGAGCTGATCCCAGTCACTGATCAAGAAAGATCGTTGGTCACTTGAAACGTTCTCGGCTCCATATCGTCTCCATGACAACGTTCAGACGAGATGGAACTTTCTGTATGATCAAAAGTACAATTCTTACACGTCACTTTAAAACATTTAATTAGAAAATCCTGACAGCCAGGGGGCGCTGGTGGAGCAGTGGTTAGTGTGTGCGCCCCATGTATGGAGGCTGTAGTCTTCCAGGCAGGCGACCCGGGTTTGAATCCGCCTGTGGCTCCTTTCCTGCATGTCATTCCTCTCTCTCTCTCCCTGATTTCCAACTCTATCTACTGAACTATCTCTCCATTACAGGCATAAACCCCCCCAAAAAAACCCTGTCTGTATGTGAAGCCAGCACAATGCAAAGCTGGGTTCACTACAGCTTTGGGTAGCCTCACACGTAATACCAACAACAACAACAACAACAACACTATTAGTTATAACGGAATCAGTATCTTTATCTGCACATATGTATTGGAAACCGGATCAGAAGTGAAAAAAGTGGATTGTGCATCTCTAACAATGCATGTGTGAAGTCTTCCTGCTCGTCTTTAGGTATCAACAAAGTCGCTGTAATTCATACTCTGGAAGCTACACAAAATGTATCTGTTGAGAGAATTTAGCCTGTACCAAAGTGGAGGACTAAAAAAAGACAGGCCACATCCCCCAGCCTGGTTAAAACATTTGAAATGATGATGTACAATTCCAAGTATTCAAAAGTTCAAGTTGAGACCAGCTAGTTTTACCAAACGGCAGAACAGAAGGATGGGATATTTACGTCAGTGGTTGGGTTTTCAGGTTCATGAGTGTTCTTAACTTTAGAGTAACTTAAAGTCTGAATGTGTATCAATGAGTACTCTGAGAAGTTATGACAACATTACTGTTCTCCTCCCTTGAATGCATCATCAGAAGAAGGGAGACGAGAGGGAGCTAAAAGTGTAGACGGCCGATAGCATTCTTCCTTCATATTTGCTTACTGATTTATTCTAGAGATACTCAGACACTAAATTTTAATTCATAAAGTAAGGTGTCTAAGAAAGTATACTCTAAATAAAGGTAAACATTTAAGCAGCCATGCAAAATGTCATGGAAAAGCACATGTTATTATGTATTAGGTGACTTTAAAATAAAAAGATGGAATTCTCCAATAATGTCATATATTGTATTTGGAGCTGTACTGTAAATTACTTGAGAAATACAAGAAACACATCCTGCACCTGAACTCCCTCAGAGTAGAACAACTGTTAAAATAGAAATGGTTTCATTCCACACAGGAATATTGTTTTAATACAACAAACCCCTGCTCTGCATACACCACCCTAAACCCTCTCAGCACCCACCAGAGAGCTGAGATACAAAGCTGTAAAACGCTGACAGGACAGAGGAGCAGCTCTCTCAGCTTCCATATCTAACACTTTAGAGATATTAGTACCAGCAGTCATCATCACCAGCCGACCCACATTACATTTCTGCTCCAACCTGCCTGACGGAGGCTCTCCACAGCAGAGATGCTTTAAATAAGGACCATTTGATTCAGTTATTACTGATGAGGGCAGAGATTCCCTCAGTGGTCAGAGAGCAGAAATAATCAGCAGTTAGGTCTCCCGTCCTGCAGACCTGAAGTAATTATTGTCTCAAGATAAAAACATGAAGCAGAGGTGATTTTTTTAAAGGAGAAAATAAACTAGAGATAGAAATGACCTTAATATTATTTCTCTCTCTGGGCATTTCCAATAAGAGTATTCCATCGGAGGGTTTGATAAAAGGATTATGCGGCGAGCTTTATGCAGCTGGACTCAAATCTGGATATGGAAGGAGAGCTGTTTGATTGAATAATTCTTGTTTCCTTTCTGCACAGCTAGCAGTCCTCTTTGGGAAAGTAGAAATCAGCATTATACCAGATTTATACATGTGTGCTCTGACTGTCTGTGCATGTCAGTCTGCCTGGGCTGAGACTCTGACTATCTGTCTGCATGTTTGTATGTCTGTCTGGAAAGATGAACAAGCTCATACTTGACAGTAAATACATATTTAATATGTATTTTTAGTTGCTGCCTATATTCTGGAAGAGATTTCTTACATTGTGTCACACTGGTGGGTGCTCACAAATCAAGAAAAAGCATGTTAAAATAAAAATAAAAAGCAACAACAACCATCACACCAGACACAGTACATGGTTACTGTGCACCTTTTGAAATTATATTGAAGACTTTGACACCTTTTTAAGAGCAAAACATTAAAACACAATAATACAATCTTAGCATCGGGTCTTTTTGGATTTCATGTGAGACTCAACAGCTTTTATTCCCAAGTTAAAAAAAAACTGTTTTGGATATCTGGCAAATTAAATTGCCACATATTTGTTGTTTGTCCCTTTCAACCATTTCCTTTTTTTCACCTTTAAGCCAAATTTCCTTTAACTTGCAATTCCCTACTCTTCTCCTTCTCTCTACTATTCACAGTTTGTAAACGCATCCATACTCTGATTTAAATGGTAAAATGGTAAATGGACTTGAGCTTGTATAGTGCTCATCTAGTCTTCGGACTACTCAAAGCACTTTTACACCTACCCACTCGTTCACACACTGATGGCAGAGGCTGCTATGTAAAGTATCCAATAATCACATTCATACGCCGCTGACAAAGCAGACGGAGCAACTCGGGGTTAAGTGTCTTGCCCAAGGACACATCGGACCTGTGGCTGCAGGAGCTGGGGTTCAAACCCCGTACCTTCCAGTTGTACACAACCGACTCTACCACTGAACCACAGCCGTCCATAAACTGTCACATGAACAAGCAAATCCCCATCGAAGAATAATAAAAAATCATGAGACACTAACGAGACGGCGTCAGAGATTTGATAGTATTCAGACATTTCTCAGTCAAAGTGCCGTCTAAAACTCTTACAAGTAAAACTAAAACACAAAAAGAGGTATTTCATGTTCTTAATCTTTGTTGGTCTGTGCAGGTATTATTGAAAATGCATTTCAAATCTGAGCTTTTGTAAAAACTGATTCAAGCTCATTTCTGGTTACAGTTTTTAAACCCGGTTTACGATTTATTGTTACAGATACGGAACAAATTTATCAGAATTCTACCTCGACAACACCAACAGATATTCAAACTTTAACATGTGTGAATTCACTGAGAGATAAAGAATAATCATTCCAGCCAAATATTTATTTTTTTGCTCCTTATGTGTGCTGCAAAGATGGGACACGACGATTGAGAATTGTCATGAAAAAATAAATCCAATTCCACAAATGGATGAATTTTGAGTCTAAGTGTTAAAATAACAAAGCATCGTTCGTATGCTGCTATCAGGCGTGATCAGGAGGCGCGTGCTGCTGCCGTTTAGGCGTCTGACCCCGGAGTTTAGTTATCATAACAGGGTTGTGACCTCATGACCTGCAGTCATTACTGCTGCCTCCTCCAATCAGCCCGACGCCGCTCTGATAAAGCCCTCTGGGAAAAAACACGCTGCTGGAATAGAGGTGACATTGGATTAATGTATGTGTGCGTGTGTTGGTAATATTGGTGGGCTGCACGCCTCTGAGTGTGTGTATGCATGTTCTATAATGTTCCTATACTTATGAGGACCAGGGCACTGTGGCAGTACTAGTAAGATGAGAAAAAGTACTTAAGCAGCAGAGGCACTTTGGTTTGAGTTAAGATTAGAATTAAGATGAAGTTCAGGTGAGGACAGGGGTTAAATGGGGGGCACTAGTTGTTGGGTTACTACAGTGACTGACTGACAAGCAGTAGGAGGGTCTGAAATCCACAAATTGGGTTTTAAGCATAGACTATAAATATTAATGGGTGAAGCGGGAGTGACGTCACCCATCTGTTACTGCAGGGGGGCTCCGAAGACTTGACGATGGCGGGCGCCATGCTTGATGTCTCAGCCTAACTTTCAGACGCCGTAATAACAGGCTGAGAGCCGGAGCTGAGGCGGGATCTAAGCCACCTCACAAACCGCTATGCTGTGCCCAGCTGTCAATCATGTCGGCTACATGCCTTATTATGAATACCCACTTATCGTTTATAAAATCAAAACAAGGACAATCAGTAATCAGACCTATTTTGTTTAGTGTATCAGGCTGTTAACATGTTCATTCTGCTGAAAAAAAAAAAAAAAGCTTTTTTTTTTTTTTTTTTTTTTTTTAAATGGGGTGTGTATGTGACTTCTGGGCCTTAAGCAAACACTCGAACAACTGCAGTTTTTTTTTGCACTTTCACTTTGGCTTCATTTTCAACAAACAGGTTGCCACTTGGTTTTAAGAAATCAGAGTGATATTAGGCTTCTTCCAATAGTTTTCATTTCAAAGCAAAGGTCAATGAAATACATTTGAATCCACATGAATGTCAAGCCTACACATGAAACTTTAACTTTAGGGATTTACATAAGCTCCTTATAGGAGTTTTCTTTTTTTTTGCCTTTACCTTGTCATATCATATCTGGTAGAAAGGTTGGGAGACAATGAAAGGAGGGGGGGAGCTGGGGAGATAGCCTACCAAACAACCCTGTCTGGATTTGAAACATGTGGACAGCATTTTTGACTCAATAGCAATATCACACAAGAGTTGGTATGAAAAATAAAAACTGTCATGACTTGACCCCTATGCAGAAAGGCCTATGCAACATGCTCAGCTTCACTTTTCAATAGTAGGCTAAATGTTTGAAGAGTTATCAATGCCGATGTGTTGTATGGTCACATGATAGCCTATAACTGTCTACAATTCAGTCACCCAGCTTCAAAGCCTTGGATTTACCTGTGTAGGTGTATTTCACAAGAGCAACAGATTAATGACTCGCTACCTTTGAAGACGTGAGCATCCCTCAGGTGTTTGTGTTTCATTTGTCCACAGGTATTTATTTTAGAGATGAATGATGTAAATCCAAGTGGTGAATGTTGTTGTTGCTTGAAGTCGGTAACTCACTGCCGCCAAATGCTTCAAACTAAACTTCCACTACCGGGTGGACGCCGGTACACGCATTTGGCAGGGTGCGCTTGTTTACAGCATGTTTGTGCCACCTGTATTTAAATATCCCCACCTGCTCTGTTTAGTTTTCACCGTAGGGCATGTCCAGGTTACAGCAAGCGCTCCTCAGTTCGGAGGGCCAATGAGCTTCTTCGAGTATTTTCGTTTACAATTGCAGCCAATCAGTTTACCTTGTCACAGGTGTATGTCACGCATAGGTAGGTTGCGTCGGATTAGCGTCAGAGAAATTGATCTCTATCTTAACACCTGACTCATGTATGTAGCGCCAGCAGGTGAAATTGCCTATTTGAAAAACCTGTCGAACTTATCTCTGTAGGCCTTATCTACAAAACTCAATAAAAAAAAGTTGTGAAAAAAATAAATAAAGGCCTTCTTTCATATTTAAGACTAGTAATGCTAAATTAAATCCTGGTTGTATATATTCCTATTCTTATTTTTGATATTTTTAGTGTTTATCTACTTTTTATTTAATATCATATTGTGTTTAAATTTGCTAACATTGTGTTTTTTGCTCATATTGTGTGTTTGGACAACCTGCTGCTGTAACGCCACAATTTCCCAGTTTGAGATCAATAAAGTCATTCTATTCTATTCTATATTCTATTCTATTCTATTCTACTACTGTATGTTTGTCATTGGATAGGTTGTTATTCTGGCAAATATTGTTAATTTTGCTTTAGTAATTCCAGTGTCTAAGAGGTTGGTAAAAGCAGACATTTGGACACATTCAAGACATTTTGTAAAGGTTTATAAAACAAAGTGAAAACACACATTTTAAAATATTTGTTTTTGTTTTGTTTAAAAGTGTGGGTAAATTGATGTTGAGATTATGGCTAATATTAGTCTGGCTTAAAGGATTTCATGGTTATTGTTTATAGGAGAGACCTTTTAAAGGCGAGGACAGAAATAAATCTAGTTTGAGGCATGTTTTAAGTGATGTTGCCCTTTTAAGAAACTAGACGATGCTGTCTGCAGAGACAGGGGAGATTGCATCTTCTCTTGTTCTGTTTTTTTAAAGGCATTGGGGAAAATCAAGAGTAAATGTTTTAAATGAACAATGACTAAGTTTAATAGTCTTTTAGAAAGTGAATTTTCTTCTGTCTTGGGAAAAATTGCAGATTGAAATCCACATTAGAAACTCATCATTATCAACACACCTGCATTCCAGGATGAAAAGAGGGATCTGGCAGTCTTTGTAGTTGTGCTGCAAGCAATGAGTGTTATTACTCTCACAGATGATTCTACTCTGTGGGTTTTTGGCTGCAATCCCATTACCAAGAACACCAGGATATATCCCTGAAACATGAATCTGTGTCGTTTCTCTTTCTAACTTCTCGTGTATGGCACCATGCCAGTGACTGTAAGCTATGCTGTTGGGGATGAGTCCAACTGCGAGACTCTCCGACAGGTTGTTTTCCTTCATTTTTTGGTTTTCCTTTGAATTCTTTTAGTAAAAGAATGACGACTCATTTTCAGGTTTTTTGCTCCTCTTCAGGCTCAGCGTCTAGCAGCAGAGCAGTAGTCCCACCACTTACCTCTTGTGTGTTAGAAGAAATAATTTTCTCTCATTAAAGGTGATCCTCCTGCCTGACCGAGGACTTTTAACATGACATGGAGGTAAGAGAAGTTACATTTTTATTTTTTGTATCTGCTATATATGTATTTGGATGGTTTGAATATAAAGATATTTTATAACTCATATTCACTGAGGCTCAAAGCTCTGCAGCTAAGCTTACTTTCCAGTATACGTAGTTGACAGATCATATGGACTGAAGATTGCTCCCTTGATTCTGCGAGTGAGCATGATGTTAAATTGAACAGACATGCCCTTTATGAAGAGGTGACATCAGTTTTCATCTCCCAGTAACAGGAGTGAACTGGAGCCAGTTATTCAACCGTAAGTCACAACTCTTCACTTGCCCACTCTCCATATGTAAAATATAAAGTGCCGTGCATACAGGTTTCTTTAAGGATGTAGGATTTTATGTAGACACATGATAGGCTACATTTTAAAGATTTGTAAATTTCGCCTCAAATGTAGCCTACAGCTCTCACCAGAGATAAGAAGGATCAAGATGTCTCCCTCGAAACTACACCTATCAGTACAAAGTGTTTGAATTAAACTATGATGGATAACAGAGTTAATAATAATACTGAGAATAGTGTTTTACAAAGCAAGAATATAAATTCAATGTAGACTAAATGTAAGTTCAAAAGACAATACGGAGAAGTTTTATTATAGCACTCATAATCAGATAATAACTTAAAGGACACCACATTGGGTTGAGTATATAAAAATAAAATTTGCTGATCAAATTTGATGCACTGTTGTAAACTAAACTATGCAAAAGTATATAAAATAGCTAAAATAAGGTCTACTGCGACAAAGACAGTCAATGATACATACACATGTTCTCTATTATAATCTACCATTATCATTTATAATAGAGTAACACTTCTGAAAGCTTTCTAACTGCAATGCAAATGTTAACTTTGATCTTTAATCGCCCTGCGTATTGACAGTTTTTCACTGAGGCGTTTTTAATTCCAGCACTTGAAATCGGTTGTTGTCGTCTCACTCTTATTCTGACACTTTCACTCGATGGACCTGTACACTTGCTCGTCTTCGTCAGAGTGAAACATTTAAAGACATTTTTGCAGTACAAATCCCGATTTGTACTCGTGTCTTTGTTTAATAAGTCAAATCTACATTTGCATTTTACTCTGCACTCTTCTCTTTTTAGATGTTTAAAACTTTGACTTCAAAAACTTTGAGGGTCAGCCGGTGTTTGGCCCTGAGCACATCTCCATAAAACTCTGTTCAAAAGGCAACTGATTAAATCTCTTTTTGGGACCTTGATTGGAAAAACACAGTTGAGACAAGGCTGAGTTTAAAAAAGCTTGATGGGTACCAGACACCTACTTTTCTGATTGACAGATGGGGAAAAACAGAGTTGAGAAATGTCAATAAAAATCCATCATCACTGTAAACTTCCTGACATTTAAAAGTTACACGTTTCCTTTTTACACCATGCTTTCAGTACCACATTTCCCACATCTGAGAAGTTGTTCAAACTGTCTACTCTCTAATGCATTCTAGGTCTTTATTGAGTCATTGATCCAGACAGAATACTACTTAAGTAATAGCTTGACTGGATGAAATCTGTTTCACCCTCTGAAGATAGTGTGCTGGCTTTCATTCCTCCTCCTTGTTATTATTCAGGACAGTGACTTTAAACAATGAATTGTCTTACAGCACTTGTCATATTTCTGCATGCTTCTCGGCAAGAAGTAAGAGTTACACTTAATGTAGAAGCACAGTCAGTGCAGATCAGAGTTATCGAATCTGGACATGGTTATATGTTGCCCAAACAGGAAGAAGAAATACGACCATTTTTATTTGTTTGGCTTTCTGTGTGTGGAGTAAGCAGATACTATAGGCGATGTTTCCTATTGTTTGATATATATACTTACAATACCATACAATTTGAGTAACATGAACGTTCTCTAATGACGATGTGTTGTTCTTGATTTCATGGTCAAATACAGATTCTTTTCTCCACTGAGTGACCTGCACATAACTCAGGGGAAAGAGTCTTGACCTCCACTGACTCTGCAGTTTTCTGGCTGCTGAAGGCTTTGAGAGAAGAAAAGAAAAGAAAAACTATAGCGCTTTTGATTTATTGAGTTTGCCGGTGATTTGTCGAGAAGGAGAGAGGAAGACAATCTCAGTCCTTTCTTTCTATCAACAAAAGACATCAAAACATTGATTTCCATCATCTAACCTTCACTTCCCCATCCTCTTACAAAACCAGGACCTAACAATGTGGGTCCATATTTGTTGCTTCTTCTGAATGTATTGCAGAACAAAATCCCAGTTAGGCACAGATTATGATCTAATAAGACCTGATATAGAAAGGGTATTTAACATTTCTGTAAATAACTTTCCTTTCTGTTTGAATATACTTCCAAAATCGATAATACTTAACACTTGTGAGTAACTTGTTTGTATATGAAGAAGAGCTACGGCGGCTACAAACATATATCACCAGATTAATGAGAATCTGAAGGATCCAGAATGATATTTAAAAAATGACATCTTAAACCAATAAAAATATCCATGAAGATCTTCTTTCAAAAAAGAGGCAGCATAAACTGGTTAGAGAATGAAACAGTTTCTCTGGTCAACATGTCAATAAAAGAGCACCGCACGAGTCAAAAGGAGCACCACACCTCCTGGCAGAGTTAAGTCGATCTCGTGAAGTCACTCCAGAAAATGATTGGTCAGGAAATAAAATCCATTGACAAGAGGTCACAGCAGCATCCATTATAACCTGACTCGAGCACACATGTTCAAACTAAACCAGTACGAGACAGCTACAGGCTTAATGCTCCCTTTGTTTTTGTTTTTTTTAAGTTGAATTCTTGATTGAATTTGTTCATTAGAGAATGAAAGCTTCTCAGCAACAGAGTCTCAAAACTTCTTATCAACTGATGGTAATAACTTCTATCTCCAGTTAAATATACCACTAAGGAATAAAGATAACAGTGCACAGCTCACCTATTATCAAAGCTTTGCAGTTCTACCGTCTCACTGCACAATAAAACACCTAGAAGTCTTAAATGCAACTCACAAGTCACAACCAAACGCAGCCCTGCATGAGTCCAAACTTATTCAATATCACCCCCTGTTCATCTCCTCTCTGTCCCTAAAGTCTCTTATTGTCATTCCTAATCACTTCCCCTCACAATCATAAACAATCTCACAACTTTTTTTTTTTCCTCCCCCCTCTCATTCAGCCCTCTCTGTTTATGCAGTTCCCAGAAGGCATTGCCTTTTTAGACCGTCCCTCCTCGGCGGCAAAGATTGTCAGGAAAAACAAATACCGGCGGAAAAAAAACAAAACAAAACAAAACAAAGTCTCCTGAAATACCTTTGCGGATTGCCCAGAGGAAGGCGCCGGACAGACAGATGAGCAGATAGGTTTCCCTCAGTCCTCCTCTCTCAGGCTGCCTCCTCTCGCGGCGTGCTGTGGAGAGTGACTGCTCACAGCCTGCCTGGCATATCTAATTAGAGCCAGGCTGTTGCCACTATCGGGCAGAGGATCTACCTCTCCAATCTCTCCTGACTCAATCTTTCCCCATCTCTGATTTTCTTTTATATTTATGCTGGAATATTTAATTGTAGACAAAAGGTTACCCCGGGCTCTATTCATCGCACACAGGCAGAATAATCTCCTTTAAAAGGCTTGACATTTCAGGCTTTTCAAAAGGGGCTGAAAAAATTATATCCCCGCTTTTGTTAATCAATGAAGTAGAACTCCCGCGAACAAAAGAATTAAATTGCTTGGTTGGGTTAATAAAACACACAGAAATAGCTGCTTCCTGTGGGCTTTTGTGCCTGCCACTGGCTCCCCCCCACCACCCCCCACATATGCAACCAGCACTGTAATTCCATATGATTTGGGGGGCAATAACTCTCATTTCTCCACACAGTTGGCTTTTTAAATCCTATTCAAAGAGCAGTCTGTGAGGCTGTGCTGATTGGGACCTCTCGCACTGAGCCTGGCTGCTGAGCCGCCTGGCTAGCAGAACTGGCTCTCTCCATTCAAATGTGACTTCCACTGAGGAGAGACAGCGGGTCCACTACAATTTACAATTTCTATACTGCCCCTGCCTCAGTAGAAACATTGTAATTATGCAAATGATAGGGGCAATAATTAGGGCCCTTCTCTGTCCCATTGTGTTAGCCCCTTTCGGTCCAACGGAAGAAGAAGACCCAGCAGGGCACGTTCGGTTTAAATTGCTCCTTACAGACAGCTTGCAGATGTTCATATTAGCATCTCCTGGCCTATAACTAGCCATCACACTGAATCAGGGTGTCTGCATATAAGACAGTGTAGCAGCAGGAGAGTCAGGGCTGCTGGCATGTGATACATCATAATGGGTCTGTCACTCTGTTTCACCTGTAAGACTTACCTGTGTGTTATGTCCTTAATGTAAGCACCTGACGTAGCCAGAGGACCTGCCTGTATTTTATCTTTATTTAGATTTGTATGAAGTAATTAAACCTTAAAACCACGTGTTAACTTGACCGACATTAAGATGGACGATGCATCTCCACCTCCTCCTGTTGTCCAAAAGTGAAGCCAAAATACCCCCTGCAACAGGCGGGTGTTTGGAGCTATAGGGATTGGCTGGTGACGCTGCAGTATTGAAGTCAGGCATATTCCCCCAAAGCACACATTTAACTTACCGATAAAGTGACAAAGATCCCTGAGGTTAGTACAGATCACAGAAAACAGGATTGTTGTGTCGGTTTGAAGCAGATACTCACAGTTATGGAAAGTTCAATGACTCTTGTGTATGTCTTTGTTATGTTTCCACTCCCCCATGTGTCAACAGAGCTGTTCGTCATGTTGATATATCTCTTTTATAGAATCCAATAACTGATTGAAGTTATTGGACTGATTGATGGCAGACAGCATGTTTGATTAAAAAAAATATAATTTGACTTGTTCCATGTCTCATCTGTTAATATGGAGGAGGCAGACTTTAGAGCATTTACTGCACCAGTCAGTAGGTGGAGCTCCAAATGTGTTGGCTTCAGTTTTGGAGAGCTCATCTTTTTACACAGTCTACGTTTAAACATTAGCTAATCAATGCAACTCGACTGGCATGATTAGATGTTTTGTCTGTTTAAAGGCTTGCAGATTCAAAATGCAGTATATTGAACATCACTGCTGCACTTTGAATCTACATGCTGGGATATGAACACCTGTCCAAAACTAGAAAAAAAGAAAGAAAGAGAAGTTCCCAGAAGCTGAAAACCCCAAAAGAGGTTTTATGTCCTTTACAAAATGACTCAAACATGAATCAATAAATCAATGATCACGTCAACTCTTTTCTTGTCTAACGCTCTTTTTTTATCTGTTAAAGGCTTTATATGTGATTTTTTGATCCAGCAGATGTCGCCCTTGAGCACCAGCATGAAACCAAAACAACTTGTGGTGCATTGTTTGTGTTAGCATGCTAATGCTAGCGATCTTTATGATGCTCGTATCTTCACACTGCATGTAAATTTATCTGAAATGAGCGTGATCTAGAAACACAGTTAAGCAGTGAGTACAGTATGTTATTCTTCTTTTCTCTAGTCCCTCAATTAAACAACTTTTATACACGAGGGGAGGAGTCAGCTGGCCGTCCCGGCGATGTAAACAAACTGAAGATAGGACTCTGAAAACTCTGAAAACATCACAGACAGTGGGACTCGGGTGTTACACCCATTGTAGACAGTCATGACTCACAGAGTTATTTTCAGAGGATAAACTTGATTTATATTACATTTAAGTGTGAAAAATCACATATAAAGCCTTTAAAGTTTCTACCTTACTACTAGGTAAACACTGGTTTAGCTCAGTTGGTAGAGCAGGCGCCCCACATACAGTTGCAGTCCTCATTGTATTAGTTGACTGTTCAACTCTGGTTTCTTCTGTTGTTTTGGGCTTATCATCCCCCCACTCTCTCCCCACATTTTCTGTCTCTCTGTTACTGTCCTATTAAATAAAGCCTTATAAGGCAAAATAAATCATCAAACAATAAAAGAAGATTTATTTTAATTTTTTCAAATTTTTTTTAATGTGTTGCTGCCCTCTCGTCCAGGTCAGCCTTATGAAATAGAGCTTGATCTCAATGGGTTAATTACCTGGTTGAATAAAAAAAGTTGTTCTGATAAAGAAAGGGTTAAAACTATTCTTAACATTTCCATACAAACATTTAAATATTATGCCAATGATTATTTTTTTCTGTTAAAATAAAAGATGAGACTCCATGTAACATATAGAACATATATCCAAATTTAGCCCAGTCCAAAACGAGACACCTTCAAGCTGTCACTTTAAGAGATGTTAAATTATCACTCGTGAACTCTTTACATTAGACACATGGTCCAATATTAAACATAATATTAGACAACTTGTTACGCTAAGAACAGACTCTGTAACTACTGTACCCTCTCTAGTTAGAAAAATGGAACTATACAAAGAGTCAACTCTTCAATCAAGCGTTCAATAATATTTAATTGTATTAGTCATAAAAGGTTAGTCTTAAACTTTAACAGAATGAGATCAAACTTTTACAACACATAGCTTGGATTGTATTTCCATTGTCAGATGTAAACAGTCTAAAGAGGTCAAATATTAGAGTGGTTATCCATCTCTTTATTTCTTATTCACAGCGTCTCCAGTAAAGTGTCTCTTCTGCCATCTAAAGAGACAGAAACAGAAATCATAATGCTGTTGATGTCATCCCACATTGATTTCCTGCATGTTGTTTATTTAGCAGTAACTTTTTCAACAGCTTGCCCTCAAATAAAACTAATGGCATGCTCCCTCCATATTATAGTATTAGAACTTACTTAGTGCATTTTTAAATTAATATTTCCCCAAGATGGTTTCCCACAAGACCAAGAGTTTTAAGGATAAATTCATGTTTTTCATTCTTTAACACTTTTTTGCACTTTGAAATTAGCTAGATCACTTCCTGAGCACGACTGAGGCGCCCTTGAGCAAGGCACCGAACCCCCCACCAGCTCAGGAGCACTCGCTGAGGGCAGCTCCCTCACTCTGACATCTCTCCATTAGTGCATGTCCATAGGATCTTGTTTGTGCATGTGTGTTTGTGCAGCATGTCTCAACAAGTGTCAAATTGAATTTCCACTCGCGAGATTAATAATGAAGTGTATCTTCTCAAACAGAGTTATTCACTGGACTTAAGTTTTATACGCATGTCTTTGTGCTGTTTTTATTATGTGTATTTTCTATATGGAACTTCGTTGCAAACCAAATTGCCCCTCAAGGTCGATACATTTTTTCCAAATAAAATTATTTTTGAAAAATTGCAACGTATTATTATCAAATTGGATTAGAACTTTTCTTTGTACCAAATATCAGAAGCCAATGTCATGCTTTTCCTCTTATGCATTTCTAGCTTTACAAATGTAATGATTAGAAGGATAGACGGTAAAATGATTCAAATGTTTCTGTGAACTAACAAGGCAAATTTTCAAAGGCTGGCATCGGAGAATTCTTGAGAATATTTGTAAAACCTATAAACTTCTTAGAAAAAGAGCCGGACACATTCATGTTTTAGATCTACATGAAAGATCAAGTTTATTTAAGAACTACCTGCATACAAAACATATTGCACATCAACCAACCAGAACAATCCTTTTAAAAAAAAGAAAAAGAAAAAACATACTGTAGTTATGCTGACCCAACAAAAACTCTTGGGATGTCACAACTCTCAGCAGTCCAAATTTTCATTTTGTCTTGAAAGAAAACCCAAGGTAACGCATGTTTTAGTGTCAAGAAGAAGAGGAGCTTCTCTTGTTTTTGTCTTTTTTTAAATACTGTACATTTTTTAAATAAATAAACCAAATAAATCTCTTCCTTAGTGGAACAGTCATGACCAGTTTCCAGCCAGCCAGTCTGAGGAAGAACCATGAAAATGACATCATCGTCACCTTGACTTGGTTTCCTAGAAACATCTCAACAACAGGGCAGTCTGGTTTTTAATACTTAAACAGGACATTTGTAATGAGTGGGCATGTTGTAACCTCAAGTACAACAAACGCGCTTTCTTTTTATTTCAGCTGACTTTGAGGAGGAAACGGCACTCAGACTGTCCCGTGAGATGTTTCTGGGAAACCCAGCACTGACAGCTACATCTCTGTCCAGCAACAAACAATTAACAGGCCAGTTTTCAGACTCGACTACAATCAACTTTTTTTTAACAGAAATTGTTTCAGTGCAAAGAAAACAACTCTTCTATCGTTTGCTTCTTTTCCAGACACGCTGTAATAACATTTCTTCTATAACTGAAGTGGTTGCATATTGAAAAAACAGAAAGCAGCTAATGTTAAACTCCTCAACAGATATATTTATATATATAAAGGATAACTGGACTCATTTCCCCTCACAAACATTAAGAAGTAACACACCTGATTTTAAAAAGATATGCCTCTGAAATCCTTTCAGTTTGTTTCAGTGTTTTCCTGCAGTGCCACAGGCATACATATAGACCAAGAAGACACCTGGTTCAACTGTGGCTGCAGGCCAGGATGACCAGGTAACACAGAAATTAGTAAAAAGATTTCAGACGGTGTGCAGAGCCAGGCAACAACATGTTGAATCTACTCTCAAGGCACAACAGCTGATCAAATGTATGTCAGACATACTCGGGGGTTTCCAACAAACCTATCTGCACTGTGGTACTGCTCATGCAGAATACTTAATTTACAAACTACTTCAGATGCACAAAACATCCTGAAAAGACAGTTGTGGAAGCATCTTTCAGACTTTTTTTTTTTTAAAACCCTGCTGTGATATTTTTTATTACCATTTAAAAAACAAGAACTGCTGCATTCATACCACAGTATGGTTTGAGTGGAATCCCTGTCTGCATTTTATAAATACTGCATTCAGTCCGACTTCTCCCTGAACTCTCAATGGAGAGTGGGCTGAAAAATACAGCTAAGAAGATTTCTGTGAGTGTGTGTGTATTTGACTATCTTTGGCAAGCTCATACAGGAAGAACTATTATTTTAAAAAAAAGTTGTAAATGAATTGTTGGAGAGAACACGTGTGTAAAGGGGATGTTAAGGTTCAGATCTCTGAAACTTGCACAGTGAAAAAGGTTTCAAATATTTGTAATATGTCGTGAAAAAGAATCAACAGTGCTTTGTATTTAAATGTTTTCACTTGTAAGGCTGCTTTAGAGACGGGGAGATTAAATCAAGTGCAGCCAAATAATTTCAAATATTCGAAACCATTTCCTCTCTCTGAACCCTGACTAGGAGAGTCCGTTGACCACAGGCTGAGGGCTAGAGTCCCCCTCGTAGGAGACTTTGGCGGGCCTCTCAGTGGAAGATCTGGTAGCTGTGGTGGGACTGCTGTCCTCTTTGTCTCCAGCGTTGCTGCTAGAACCATTGGTGGTTGCTGGGGCAGACGGCGGGCTGTTCTCAGCGATGGTATCCACCTGACCCTGAACAGAAACGCAGGAAGTAACAGTATTTAACTATTCATAAAAGGAGATTTTTTTTTTTTTTTAAAGACATACATACACCAGGTAAATACAAAGTTATGCCCATGGCTCATTCATTAGCTAAAAAGTAAATACAATCTTTCTAACACAATGCGCCTGGATTTCTTTTTATAGCTGACCTGACTTGTTTATTTATTACTCAGGCAAAGCAGTAGTGAACATTTATTTTTAAATATACATAATATTTATTTATTTAAGAAACAAACTGGCGTACATAAAAGAATAAATCGTCATTACTCCATCTTTGCGTGGAAAAGCAAATCAATCCTAATCCCCATCAATGTCTATGAAACTCTGAACAAGCTAACAAGCCAGGTATGACATGACCAGCATACCTGCGAACCAGTGCCCACAAATGTATAAAATAATAATAGAAACTCTGCAATCTGAATGAAGTGGTGACTAACTTCTTGGATAGTTAACGACACAGCAAGCTGTATGTCTGATATCAGCATGAAAACCAAAACCACCAACACTAAACACTGCCTAGATTTTTAAGGTTCATTGATTGAATCAGATTGGGCGAAACCAAACAGAAATCTAGCAATTTGTAAATGTGCATTTATATGTGAGTGTGTATGGGGATTGACTAGCTTCTGGAGTCAGCATCTAGTAGTCATATGAGGAACTGGAGTCTTTTGGACATTCCAAGTTGGCCCGTTTTTCAACTCTGGAGGTCCCAGCGTTTGTTTTAACAGGTAATAGTCAAGCTTCAGGAGCAGAAAACACTGCAGAATCTTTTTGAACATGCACTTTTGAAAGTTTCACTGTGCTCTGCCAACAGTTTGTTAACACTGGGCAGTTTAGTACTAACCACATCCTTGCTTTTCTTGGAGTCCTGGGTGTTGAGCTGTCTGCTCTGAGACTCAGCCCTGGATATGTAGTCAGCCACAGTCACTGTACAGACAACAGGAGAAAAGAAAACCACTGACGATGAAAATATCTGTTTTCTGTCTGTCTCCGCATCCACAGGGTTGAGAATTTCACAAAAAACGGAAGACAGAGAGTAGATCCGGTCTAGCAGTCTTAAGAGAGACTTTCAACACTTTCAGAGAACAGTAACGTGTTTATGGAGCCTAACTGAAGGCCTTGAACACATGACATTCAACACAACAAACACAGAGAAGTTAGAGGTCAGGTTTACTGCGACACACCAAACAAACCAGGACTGCTGTTTGTGTAGCAGCCCGACAAGATACAAAACAAAAAAAGCTGTAGCCTAGTTGTTAGTGAACAAGCCTGTGTAATAATGCAAGAAAGACAAAACATACTCTCGTTTCATTGTGGACATATTAAGCATGTTGATGTAAAGGCTCAAATCATTAACTTTATTTTAATGACTTTATTTTCTTATTGGTTTAGTATGGCACACGGACAAACATCTTTTAGTGTAACCGTTCAGCCAAGCCGTTAGGAGCACTGTTCAGGCAAGGGGATACTGGCTGTTGCTATGTTACCTGGCTGCCTCTCTTCAGGCAGGCGGGTGCGGCGGCGGCGACTACGATTACGACGCTGAGATTTTGCCTCTGGGTCATCTAGGGTTTTTAGGTCATCACAAAGAGAAGGGTTTGGGTCTTTAATTGCTGTAGAACCACAAACCTTTTTTTTTGTTTTACCTGCAAAGGCTCCTTTGAGACTTAAATAGTTGTGCTGCAATGCTGCATAATCTGTCCGCTCAAAGACAGCACTGTTAACTCTATTACATTCCTTCTTACGTACTCTTTTCTGACTTATTCTTACTCAGAGCACAGTTTAAAAATTGTGTTTGATGAAGTTGTATAAAATTATCATTTAAAAAAAAAAAAGAAACATTTCTTACCTGTTCCATTTTCGCTGACTGAGGTATTGTCCGACTCGCTCAATCCGTCAATCAGCGTAGCATCTTCGTCTGTTCTGCGCCTTCGAGATCTTCTGCGGCGGTTTGCAGGCAAGTTGGACTCACTGCCATCTGTATCAGCTGTCTGGTCTGTCTCTGTGTTTGTCTCTTGGGCCCCGTAGGCGTTGTTATCCTCATAGTCCCGATGTCCTCCTGAAGAGCCAAGTGAGATCCATAGAAAATGTTACAAATACAGTCAAACAACATAAAGGATCTTTTTCTGTTTTTTTTTTGTCTTTACTAGTATGGACAGTCAAAGTGGGACACACATTTCATGTTCAAGTTTAACATCTGAACAACAAATCACAGTGAATCAAGGTGAATGATGTAAATTCATTTTTTGTGTATTCTGCATTGCATGGCAACTCTGTGCCTTTGTGCCTTGTGCAACTCTGCCAGTGTTTCCCCTACCATTACATGGGGGGGGGGGGTTTGTGCCTTTATTGTAGAGATAGGATAGTGGATAGAGTCGGAAATCAGGGAAAGAAGTCGTTTAAGGATACCTTTCCGATAGAAAAGGACAGCTGTCATTAAAAGTAACCCATGAACACCAAGATTCCTTCAAGTGTTTGTGTCGTCGTGTCGCCATGTCGGCTTGTCCCCACCCCCCCAACGCTGTAAACCTAGGGGAAACACTGTCTGCATTGACTTTGTGAATAATAGCAACAAAAATGTCCTATGTTTTGATTTGAGGAGTGAATTTTACCATAGTTGTTGCTGTAGCCTCCTCTTCCTCCTCTCCCCCGTCCTCCAGGTCCTCCTCTGCCTCTACCAGGTCCTGGCCTCCTGCGACCATCTCTTTGTGGCCGTGAGCCTCTCTCCCTCTCCCTGGAAGTCAGAATGCCAATAAATCAGCTTAAATCCATAACAAAAGTATAAACAAACTCTGCGTCTGCGCACAACATAACAGTGAGGCTATCCAACAACCCATGTCTAAACTTTCTAGTCAGACTGTAAAGAATAACCAGCAGGAGAAAGAGGAAATCTTGGCCCGAGCTATTTGATATCAGTTCCAGATCACAATCACATTTGGGTTGGATAAATCACAACTCACCTATCCTGGTCCTCTGCAGCCAGTGACCAGTCACTGAGCTCTTCCCTGCGCTCTGAGTCGGTCTCGGAGGCGTTGGACTGCTCTGAGTTGGTGCCTGGAAAAATAAGCACACATAAAGGTAAGGGTGGATGTAGATATTCTGGAGCATAGCGGGCGTTATCTACACATAATACATTCTTACACGATGGAATTTAAAAGTTGCCTACCATATCCAGTGCTGTAGCTGTGTCCTCTGCGGCCACGCCCTCTGCTATTATAGGAGCGACTGCCATGTAAAGAGGATGAGGAGGCATTAGCACTGCCATCCGTATTATATCCTCCTCTCTCTCCTTTCTCTCCTCTTTCCCTGTCAGATGATCGGTGACTCTGGGTGATCTGACGCAACTGTTCGTCAATCTGCATCCTCTCGAGACGAAGCTGCTCGACCTCCTGGAGGAGAAACGGTAAAGGGGGAATGGTGTGGTAAAGAGGAAGAATATAAGACAAAAGAGACCGCAAGAAAGAGAAAACAAAATAGTGAATTCATTGTGTTCCATTAAATATAAACATCCCTGAAAATGTTTTATTTCCCAGTACTTGATACACATGCATTCTCATCATACACACATCACATTCACTGTGCCTTGTGTTGCTTTTTCTGAATCTTGCTAGGCTGTGTCCCTGTGAACAATCCACAATCTGCCTCAGCTCCTCCTCAAGCTGCTGGTTCTCCACAAGAAGCTCCACCATCTCCTACACGTACACACACAGTGCAAAACAAACACAAGCGCGCACACACACACACATGACAGAGCACCAACACAGCAGCCATAACATGCAAAAAGCACAGGACACACACGTACAAACGTGCAAAGTGCAAAACGTTTACGCTGTGAATTCCACACTGCAGGACAGCAAAGAAAATATCTATTTATGTTACTAGAAGTTTCATTTTTGGGGGGCATTTGCAAGTCACAATGAAGACTGTAAATATAGATCAACAATCGGGTTTCCACAACACGATTGTTTACTTGAGGTTGAAAGAATCTTTCTGTGCAGCTGGATAGTGTTAGAAACTTGTAGTCAATATCTGGTTGATGATGATCAAACTTAAGTCCTGTGTGCTCCTTGCACTCCTGCTCTTTGTGCAGGGGTTTCCTCCTCACCCATCACTATGAATTTGTAGATAATTAAGACAGATATTTTTAGGCTGCATCAAAATGGGCTAAACTTTTTAGCCTAAAAATGTCCTGATGCTTCAACAAGCTGTTTTTAACCTACAGAGGTAGGAGAGATCTGAATACTTTTGACCCCGTGGTGAATTTAGTGACCTCCGTAGATTAAACAAATAAAGGTCCCCAAAACATCTTTGACTTTTCTCAAAAAATATAACTTTTTTATGTTATTAACAATAGTGTATGACTTTTGATTAAACTAGGAAAACCAGTATTTTAGGCAAGGCAACTGCTTCAATCATGCAATATTTCTGTAATCCTAAAATTGATCTTATATTTATGGCAAACAAAAAAGGGAGTATTAATAGAGATTTGTGAAGGTCTGAGAACCCTTTTTTTTCCGTTTTGTAGGAATATCCTAAGGTACATACTATTCGTCTAATAGAATTTACATTACAGATTGGTTTCATGTATTACCACTTTGAGTTCCGGCACAGCACAAAAGAGGTACTTCTGTTTAGTTTTACAAACTTATTTATAGAGATAAATCAAACATGTCTTTTTTGCAACTTCCACCTGCCTAATTAATTATGCCAGAAAATGGATTAAGAAGCAGCATGTAGTGTATAAAGGAAAATAAAGAATCAGCTAAACAAATCCAAACATGTCTCCAAATCAACCTTTCGTCAACCCAATTCAGCACACAAACACAAACGCGCACACACAGACAGCTATGTATACATACTGTAGATCTCCTTACATTGAGGTAAGAGATGTGGTACTCCAGCAGGACCTGGACGTTGCCAATACTCTCCTTAGTACCGACAAAGGTGAAGGGGACCATTCCCTGTGTCGACAAAACACAAAAAACACAACACACATGTTAGTATGGGGCTGACGTAGACAGAGTGGAAAGAAAAGCTTAAAATTCAATCATACAAAGCAAATAAAACTGGATCAGTCTACAAATCAGCTTTATCAGTAGCAGTAAAAGATGTGGCTGTAGCAAGCTTACTTCCTGTCGGGGCTGCTTGTTGTCATTGTCTCCTTCTATCCTGACCCTGACCACGCCCGACTTGTCCACAATCTCCTGGATGACCTTTCCGTTCTTACCGATCACTTTGCCTAGAGTCACAGAGCAGAGAAAAAGATGAGGAGGTGACTAGTAGCCATATGACATATCCTGCATTTTGAGTGTAATGTTATTTTAGTAGGTTCTTTTATGGTGTCAACATACCAACGAGGTTCCTTGGGACCTGGACAGAGTCCTCCAGGAACTCTAAATAGTTCCTGGCCTTTTTCACTGCCTCTGCTGACTGAAAGACAACGCAGCGTTACTTTTTTGTTACTTTTTCAAATTTAGGTTTGACAAACACGAACGCATAACCAACATCTTTATCTTCTGCACACAATAAGGACATTCAGCTCACGACTACAGTCACTCATTGATAAAGAAATAATTATCAAAACCACGGAAAATAACCAGAAAACCGCACCCCACTGTGAAAAGACACAAATGCACGCTATTCACATTCACAACACTAGTTCCATTATTCAAATAAGATTAAATGTGTCCCCAAACATTTGTTTTATTAAAGAATAATGTTAATTGATTACTTTTCTCCATCGTAAAACCAGTCCTTCACCTATACAAAACCCTCCTACCTCTCCATAGATCCTGAAAGTGCCAGTCTCCTCATCCAGCTCGATGGCAGTGACACCTGGAACTTTCCGTGCTTGTTGGATGTTGTTGCCATGGCTGCCGATGGCCAGGCCCATCAGATCTGTTCTTACCGTGAACTCCTCCTGGAAGGATGACACCAGCTGCCTGGAGCTCTGCAAAAACAGAATTTGTATTCTGTTAGTAGCTATTTTTTAACAAGTTAAACATTCGGTTATCAGCGCCTGATTGGTATGGGATTTTTGAGGAAATTACAGATTTTTAAAGAGGACAGATTCTGATAATTGATGACTTTTGTTGTCTTTAGTTTAAGTTTGACCTCTTAAAGGGTACATGCCTATGTGACCAGGTCACGAGTAACGGGACAACCATGAAGATGTTGTTACAGACTGACCTCCAGGTGTTTTGTTGCCTCATGGTTGCGTGACATAAGCAACAGCTTGGTCCTGATGCTGCGCAGGTGCATGTCACTCAGCAAAGACACACGCTTCACTGTCGCCTCATTCATGGACTGTTCACACACAGACAAACAAACGCACACACAGACAGAGAAAAGTAAAACAAAAATTAGCATTAGATTAACTCTAGATACTGCTACCTTGACAACTAGAGGAATGGCTGAGTCATCCACTGGACAAACATATCAAGCAGGACATAGTTAAACATATCCTGTAGTAGTGTTGATATAACAATAAATATTCAAATGTAATAACAGAGTGACATCAAGACAGTTACCATAATCACTAGTTGGCTGGTGTCAGGGCAGTATGAGATGCGAAGGGCTCCCACAGCTTTCTTAAATTCCTTATGGGCGTTCTCATTCTGGCATCTGCAAAATAAGAAAAAAAAAGTTCAGAATCCTTTATGCCAACTTGTATTTTCATCTTAAATGAAGCAGAAATGCAGAGCGCTTAAATTACCATAACAATCTTTTTTTTATAAATTCCTATTATCATCCATTATTTGGGGGAAACTAATATCTGAATGATATATTTGTGAAAGCATTAGTGTAAATGTTCTGAACATACGCTTCTTGTAGATCCTGAGGAACAGGGACAGTGCACTTGTGAAAGGAGTTCTTGGTGATGGCCTTGTTGGTGTTGATTGGACGCAGACGCTCAAAGGTCACGATCTCATTGTACGTTGCATCGCAGGCTGCATACTCTATCACATAGAACTGAAGAGAAAGACAGGCTCAACTATAGAAGCCAATATATACACAATTGTGAAAAGCAGGATTTCACCTTCAAAATAACAAAGAAACGATCTTTTTACCACGTTAGCTATCTTCACGTAACTCTCAACTTTCAGAAAGTCATGGGTATAATATTATATCTAGCAGCACAAATTCTTTTCGCATCAATTTCATATCAATTTGAAATTTATCATTTAGAAATTATTTTATTCAGACCAACACTCACATCTCCCTTCATCATGCGGACTTTAGCCAACCACCAACCACAAGGCTCCTGATCATTGGCTCTGGACAAAATCTGTTGGGATGGTGAGACAGAGAAACCGAGTGAGAAACAGCGAGAAAGGGGTAAAAACAAGACTTTATGTGTGTGTGTCATCCTCACCTCCACCTCTTCGCCTTCTCCAATGTCCTTCTTGCCGTCGGTGGGCGGTGGCATCCTGACATCATTAAAGGGCACCTGGCGCTCTGGCTGCCAACTAAAAATATTATTAGAATGACTTACCTGGCTGAAACACTGTAGTCCTTAAAAAATCTGGCATGTGTTATAGGAATAGGTAGAATACAGGTGAAAGAGAGACTCACTTGTTCTCAAAGGCAATGGTGAGAGAGTCATCGTGGATATCTTTGACAAAGCCCTGCATGACAGACAGAAACACAGACAGGCGGAGGACATTAGAGCCTGACAGCTGACTGAAATTAAGTGCCACCTGTTTAAGTTACACCGACTCTACAGGACAGAAAATATACACAATGTGCTGACATTTCTCTTCTGTTTTCTCCTTTGTGGTGGATATATAAAAACAAATAAGAGGCATGTAATAGAGGACCATGGTTTTATTAAAAATAAACAAATTTAGAGATAAATACATAACTTTAGCCTATCATCATACTTGTTTTTTTGAACAACTTTAACAACTTTAAGTGTTCATGGTAAAAGCAGGGGTTCTTACTCGTCAAATAAAGTCCTGTTGATTTTGTAGAGTAACAGAGACAATTGTTCTGACATCAGACACAGCTGAAGGGTGTTCTGCGTCAAAGATTTTGGCTATAAAACACAAAGCACCATTTAAAGCTTTTGTTTTTGGTTGGCAGAAGGCATCTCAATTCTGGATAAATAAAAAATTAAACAGCTGCATGACTTCAAGCTAATAGAATAAAGCTAATGAGCTAATAAAATAATATACAGTTCAGCAAAAATGTTAATCATTTGATGGATCCAGCTTCAATAGTGTGAGGATAAGCTGGGTTATTATGTTCCCTTTTATTGTTGTTGTTTGCTTTTAACATTCATAGATCACACAAGTTATAAGGAAGGAAAATTGGACCAAACTGACAGATTAATCACTAATAAAATACAATGACTACGTACCACATATCCCTAGTTGTAGTTGTTGTTTTTTTTGCTCACTGAGTGTGTACACTTTATAAACCACTGTACTGTATGTCTGTTTTTGCCTGTAGCCCACCACAGAATATTGGTGAACCAAGATGATAAAATTAGTTTAAAAGTCAGTAATACATTTGCACACATAAGCTCTAAAAGTCATTGATCAGTAACAAAGACAAGCCAGAATTTAACCTTTCACACTAATTCAGACGCTTACAAAATATGTTATTTAGAGATGGCCACTTTGCCATCTTCTGTCAGGGTGCGTTGTCAGCTACATAACAAATACATTACATTTTAAAAGGAGCATTGAATCACACCGCCATAGAGCTCAAGCATTCAGCCTAGGCAGCTGACAAGCAGGGAAGTGGACAAAGTGACTCACGAAACAAGGGTTGGGCGGATAAGGAAAGTAACAAGGTCCATATACTTCATGTGAAGTCATCCTACTTTCTACTGGTATTTTATGCAACTTTATTGTTTTCTGACAGCTGAAACCACTTGTTACTTTCAAACGAGATGTTTTGATAAACTTCCCAATTACTTGTTTATATTTACGAATATGTCATTAGTTACTTTCTCATACTTCATTATTATAACATTTATGACTCTAAATACTCTACAGACTGAACTAAAACTCCCTGAACTTATTCCACTTGGAGCTTTCCGGTCTATCTTTAGGGACAGACAGCGTGAGACCACTGAACAGCGCCTGTGTTTTTAAAATCTTAAATTGTTGTTTTATTGTTGTCACAGCTCCTGCACTTTCTTTTTTATTGAAAACACTATGTTGTTAAGCTATATTGTCACTTAATTGTAACTGTTCTTATGACATGTGCTGCTGACCTCTTGGCTAGGTCACCCTTGTGAAAGAGATCCTGATCTCAATGGGTTCTTCTATCTGGTTAAATAAAGGTTAATAATGAAAAAATAATAATAACGATCATACAGTCTAAAAGTGGTGACATTTGCACAACTCTAAACAACTACAGGAATAAAATACAGCATACACTAATGCACTTTTATGTTTAATTCTCTACATATAATAACTTTGACAGGGACCACATTGCTCTACAATGAGCATTTTTACTTTTGGTTATTTCAGTTGACAAGAATAGTCACATACATTTCTTTCACGAAACAAATATGATTTTTCTGAAGGATGGAAGTTAATAGGGAAAGTGAGAAGGCAGAGAAATGAAAATAAGTTAAGAGATGAGGAAAGGAGACACAGGGTAGGAGTTTGAGGAAAGGAGACACATGGTAGAAGTGTGAGGAAAGGAGACACAGGGTAGAAGTGTGAGGAAAGGAGACACAGGGTAGAAGTGTGAGGAAAGGAAACACAGGGTAGAAGAAACACAGGGTGGAAGTGTGAGGAAAGGAAACACAGGGTGGAGGTGTAGAAGTGAGAGGAAAGGAGACACAGGGTAGAAGTGTGAGGAAAGGAGACACAGGGTGGAAGTGTGAGGAAAGGAAACACAGGGTGGAAGTGTAGAAGTGTGAGGAAAGGAAACACAGGGTGGAAGTGTAGAAGTGTGAGGAAAGGAGACACAGGGTGGAAGTGTAGAAGTGAGAGGAAAGGAGACACAGGGTAGAAGTGTGAGGAAAGGAAACACAGGGTAGAAGTGTGAGGAAAGGAAACACAGGGTAGAAGGAAACACAGGGTGGAAGTGTGAGGAAAGGAAACACAGGGTAGAAGGAAACACAGGGTGGAAGTGTGAGGAAAGGAAACACAGGGTAGAAGTGTGAGGAAAGGAAACACAGGGTAGAAGGAAACACAGGGTGGAAGTGTGAGGAAAGGAAACACAGGGTAGAAGGAAACACAGGGTGGAAGTGTGAGGAAAGGAAACACAGGGTAGAAGGAAACACAGGGTGGAAGTGTGAGGAAAGGAAACAGGGTAGCAGTGTGAGGAAAGGAGACACAGGGTAGAAGTGTGAGGAAAGGAAACGCAGGGTGGAAGTGTGAGGAAAGGAAACAGGGTAGCAGTGTGAGGAAAGGAGACACAGGGTAGGAGTTTGAGGGAAGGAGACACAGGGTGGAAGTGTAGAAGTGAGAGGAAAGGAGACACAGGGTAGAAGTGTGAGGAAAGGAAACGCAGGGTGGAAGTGTGAGGAAAGGAAACAGGGTAGCAGTGTGAGGAAAGGAGACACAGGGTAGGAGTTTGAGGGAAGGAGACACAGGGTAGAAGTGTGAGGAAAGGAGACACAGGGTGGAAGTGTGAGGAAAGGAGACACAGGGTGGAAGTGTGAGGAAAGGAGACACAGGGTGGAAGTGTGAGGAAAGGAGACACAGGGTAGGAGTTTGAGGAAAGGAGAAACAGGGTAGAAGTGTGAGGAAAGGAAACACAGGGTAGAAGGAAACACAGGGTGGAAGTGTGAGGAAAGGAAACGCAGGGTGGAAATGTGAGGAAAGGAAACAGGGTAGCAGTGTGAGGAAAGGAGACACAGGGTAGAAGTGTGAGGAAAGGAGACACAGGGTGGAAGTGTGAGGACAGGAGACACAGGGCAGAAGTGTGGGGAAAGGAGACACAGGGCAGAAGTGTGGGGAAAGGAGACACAGGGTGTGAGGAAAGGAGACACAGGGTGGAAGTGTAAGGAAAGGAGACACAGGGCAGAAGTGTGGGGAAAGGAGACACAGGGTGTGAGGAAAGGAGACACAGGGCATGAGGAAAGGAGACACAGGGTGGAAGTGTGAGGAAAGGAGACACAGGGCGTGAGGAAAGGAGACACAGGGCGGAAGTCTGAGGAAAGGAGACACAGGGCATGAGGAAAGGAGACACAGGGTGGAAGTGTGAGGAAAGGAGACACAGGGTAGAAGTGTGAGGAAAAGAGACACAGGACGTGAGGAAAAGAGACACAGGACGTGAGGAAAGGAGACACAGGGTGTGAGGAAAGGAGAAGGGACTGTAACAGGCAGCAGGTCTACAAATAGCTCTTTAAGTCTGAGGTATCAGTGACCCTCTTCTCTGACATGCCAGCTGGTCAGGACTGAAGGGAACAGGACTGAAGGGAACAGCTGAGGACTGAAGGGAACAGGACTGAAGGGAACAGGACTGAAGGGAACAGCTGGCTCACAAACACACACAGAAAATAACTTGTGCATGAAGAAGTGTCAGATTATAGACCTGCTCTGTGTAGGTGTGTCTATGTGTCTCCTATATGACACATTTATAACACTGAATGATCCATATTAAATGATTTCAACCCCCTCTAATGACTGAAGACATATTATTTATTAAATGTTGTTTACAAACTGAACATGACATATTATTTATTAAATGTTGTTTACAAACTGAACATATTATTTATTAAATGTTGTTTACAAACTGAACATATTATTTATTAAATGTTGTTTACAAACTGAACATATTATTTATTAAATGTTGTTTACAAACTGAACATATTATTTATTAAATGTTGTTTACAAACTGAACATGAAGCCAAACATCATTTCATTAAATATCTTCTGACGTCAACAGTCAACTCGGAGAATAGCTAACTTAGCTAACTTTTAGCTCGGTGAAGCTACAACCGAACATCAATATAGACTAAAAACAAAACAGCTTATGTCGCTTTTATGTTGTAAACATCAGTATTATCGTGTGTCTTACATTTCTTAGTGGAAAGAAAGGTTGATAAAAAAAAAAAGTGACGAGACGACAGAAGTGGCGACGTTAGCCTAGCGTGCTAACTGTGGCTAGCAATGCTACAACAGGCTAACAGCAGGCAGTTACCGGGGTCCAGGTCGAGCAGGAAACCCCGTTAAAGTGGGTCAATGACACCTTGAATACAAATTATGGTGTCGCGTAACACTCCGTCGTGTTTGATTCTGTGTTGATAAGCAGGTATTTACCTTGTAATAAGCCCCGTTGGAGCCACGGACCTCCACCGCCAGTTCCTCCATATTGGACACGCAAAGCATGCTGGGACGACAGGTGCTCCTAAAGGCATCCTGAGACAACAGCTCCATGGTAGTGTTGACTGCTTACTGTCAGAGCTACAATCATCTATAAATACTGACTTAGAGACACATTTGAGGTGCTTTTTGCTTGTTTATCTTCTCATCATTTCACTTCTTTTTTCTGCTCCACTGAGGCAAATTGAGTGTTTTTAACTGAAGCTCATTGGTGGACTGTTTAGGCCTACATGTACTCCAGTAGGCCTTCTGTCCTTAAATCAACATTGTAGGTAGGCCTACGTTTATTTTTTTTAGTATTTCAGTGTCATGACACTCTACTGCATCAGAACGTTTCAGGTGCAAGACACACCTGCACTACACAAAACACTACCCACATGACCTGCTTCATTATTATCACTGTATTATTGTATTATTATTATTATTTAGGTCAATATATATATATACATATATACTGTACATTCTATATATTTTATTAAATTATTATACTAGTCTATATTATATAACATTTCATTATATTACACTATATTGTTCATATTGCACTATATTATATTATATTATATTATACTACATTATATTATATAACAGCACTCTGCATTACTGTGGTACAACACTGCCTCTCTCCTCTGCTGTTTACATTACTCTTGCTGCTATTTTTTTGTCACTATATTTTGTTTGAAAATATATCAATATATCTTAAAAACTCGATATTTTTCCCAGCCCTAATCTATACCGAGTATAGATACTAGGGTTTAAAAAGACTTCTGTAGAAGTTGAAGTATCAACTCAAGCTTTTTACTCAAGTAAAAGTGTAAACGTTCTGGTTTCAAAACTACTTAAAGTATAAAAGTAAAAGTAATGTAAGGGGGAAAAAATGCCATTAAGGACAAAAGCTTAAAAGCTAAAGGCCCCGAAAGGCCACAGGTGTCTATAGTGCTCTACGGCACCTCCCCAAAGAAACATTTTTCTAAAGGCCGTAATGACTTTAATGTTATATTAAAATGTTAATGTTGAAAAGTTTGGGATGCACCTGTTTCAGCCACATTTATGCCCATAGAAAATGAACACATTTTAGTACAATGCAAATACATGAATGAACCATATATGTGTACTACTGAGCATTAACATGTGTTTCATGGAGTGGAAGATATGATGACTAGTTGCAGTATTGTAATGGAGCAAAAAGTCAAACTTCAGAGGCATGTTATCAATAGCCTTTATTGGAATGTAAATGTACAAACTTGGGACATTTCGCTCGAGTCTCGAGGAGACTTTTGTCCTTTTGGGATTGAGTTACTATAATACAAATGGTTTGACTGGTAAAGGAATAGATTTAAAACAACAGTGAGCGATGTTTTTCAGTGAGAGATTTCTAACATAAGGTTTATTGCTTAGATTTGTAGACTCCTTAAAATTTGGTGGTGCACTTTCTTTCCTGAGTCTCTGCCACGGACATCTTCGTACTAGGCTACATACGTCTGCTATTTCCTTGCTGGAGTGTGACGTGATTTGTGTCATGTGCAGGTGTGATGGATCGTGTACAAACCAATAGGGTGTCAGAATGGTATATGTTATACTTCTCATCTAACCACAATCAAATTCACTTCCATCCGGATGGCGCGATTTATCTGGATAGGTTTTTTTGGGTTTTTTTGGGTTTTTTTGAACGATGACAAGCCGGAATGAAATAGGAGTAACGAGGCTATTTTTAAAATGTAAGGAGTAGAAGTAAGAAGTCGGCTGAAAAATAATTACTCCAGTAAAGTATAGATACACAAAATTTCTACTTAAGTAAGATAACGAAGTATTTGTACTTCGTTACTTGACACCTCTGAAGAGGACACACATTTCCCTAAACAAAGGAGGGAGGGAGAAGGGGATACAGAAATGAAAACTTTTTAGTCCTAAATGAAGTAAACATTTTCACATTGAAGATGAGCAGTCCAGATATAAATAAAAACAGCAGTATCAATGTGTATAATTTGTTTTGTTTAAAGTTATGGATGATGTATGATGTCAGTCTACTTCTATATGGGCCTACACACATTTCCTCATCGTGTTAATAGGAAAACATTTTATAATAGCAGGTAGGTAGATGGAAATTTTCATCAATTTATAACTAAATGAAATACATTTGCAAAACTATACTACTGCTGTCCAAAGTACTGTTAAGAAAATACATGTGTAAGATCAATGAATTAATAATAAACTGTAATAATATAACAGCTGAGAATTTCTCTTTATAATGACTTTATGCTTACTTTTGACGCTTGAAGAACTCTAAACTCTTATTCTTCAATGTTGTCTTTATGTTTGTAAAGACTTGTATTATTTGTTCAGTATCCATAAAGATAGTAGTATTTCTACTTTGTATTGAGTAAAGATGCTTGCTGCTTTTTGTAACATAACAAGTAAGGTCTTTTTACCTGCTCTTTTGTAATGTTAACAGACAATAAGTAAGGTATTTTACCTGCTTTTTGTAAAGTGTCTCGAGATAACACTTGTTATGAGTTGACGCTATACAAATAAAAATTGATTGATTGATTGAATTGAAAGATGTAACACTTCCTCCACCAAAGCCAAACAGTCAATTAACAACATGTTTGATTTGAAAGGGGAAACAGCAGGATCATATTTTGCTCAGTTGGAGTGCCCCTTGTTTTGAACTGCTTTAATCTCATGAACCCGGCACACATGGACACTATACGTTTTTATAAAGTGTCCACAAGATAATGTTATAGTTAGCATTCTGTAATTGTTAAAAACATTATTAAAACACTGATGTGTACAAATCTTGTTTTTCCAACTTGTGTTTTATGACTTTATCTTTATTTGAGTAAAAATATCTACCTAAGGTTCAGTCACTCTAAAAACTTAAGACCCAGATGGACCTGCAGTGTTAAACCTCACAACACATTTTAAAATGAGGCTTTCCATCTGATGAGATACAATGAGCTGTGAAAAAAATGGAAAATGTCTGTATTTACAAAGATGGTTACGGGAATCATCATTCTGATACAGTTAAAAGCATGTTGTTTTTAAACAGGTCGATAAAGAAGAACACATCTGGGTAAGATAATAGAAGTTTTCTTAAGGGATGATTTCTGTAGGCTCAATTTTATACTTGTACATTTAGTCCACAGTTTAAAGAAAATGTATACATAAATGACTTATACAGTGTATACAGTCACTCCTGCTCTGTTCTGATTGGATCTATCTTTCAGCATGATGTATCCACAGGTTAACTCATTCAGATTCATTTGACTAAAGTTTATTACTTCCTGTAATAAAGTGAAATGTAAATATAAAAAGTATTCACCACACTCATCGTTGTTAATCGGACACATTAAAGGACCAGTGTGTCGAATGAATTGCCATCTAGTGGTGAGGTTGCATATTGCACAGAGGAACTTATGATCCCTATATGAAACTCTTGAGCCGGTGTTTTGTTTGTCCATTCTGGGCTGCGGTATGAACATTGTAGCAGAACATAACGGACCGCGTAAAAGAGCACAAACTCTTCGTTTAGATATTCAGTATACTACAGAAAGCTCTAACAATAAGGCAAAATTAAATTTAAAGTGCTCATGATGGATTAAGCCAGGTCTTTATAATAAAGCATTAAGTAAGGTCTTTTACCTGCTTTTTGTAAAGCGTCTCTAGATAACACTTGTTATGAGTTGATCCTATAAAGGATAGCTAAAGATTGATCACTGATAGATTGACATTTCTGCAGACCCCACCCCAGTATTACAAATTGTAATCAGAATTTAAAAAACAAGAACAGAAAAATATCCAACTGTCAACAGGAAATGACATACTGTGTTGAGTTTTTCATTCATTTTACAAGGTCCTGTTTCCTACTATGACAAGGAAACACTTGGGCTTAAAAATATAATAGAAAAACAGAATTATATACTTCATATTCAAATCTATTCTAATTGGCTCGCTTCACATATTAAAGCAGGTCTTCATATACAGATGAAAATGTGATAAACTGTTCAATCTTTTAAATACAAAGCCGACATTTTCAAAACTCAAACGTCCCAAAAGAGAAAATTTTTATGTCTTAAATTACTTGACTCAAAATATCTCCACCTATAGCTTTAATTAAAATAAACATGACCCTCCAGTCATTAAAAAATGCAGCTTATGAATAGTTGAAGATACTTTGATTATTCAAAAAGCCTGAGATATTTGTCGTTCATTTTTGACAAGTTCTTATACGCGGCTGCTTCAAGACAAACACACATCAGACTGCACGCTGAGGAGCAGTCACTGAAACAGAAAGCAGACGCTGCCTCGTCTCTTTGAAACAACCACTGTGACACCTAGTGGCCAACAGTTCGCCTCCTGTGGGACTGTTGCTGCTGTTTATCAGATAGTTATTATCTGATTTAGCTCCACCGTGAGCCTGCATACCAGCGTTACACCACAAAGCTCAAAGGCACACGAGGAACATCTTTACATTCAAGCCAAAGCCAGGCTTGGAAATAAAGCAATACTGGCATTTTAGAAGAGGAAATAATTCAAGCAGATGTAACATGAAGTTGAGAACGGTCAAGTTTGGCTTTAAAAAAGATTAAAAGATGTCGTGGGTTTGGAACAATTAATGCAACATCTGCGCAGTCTTGAAAATAAAATATTCACTCATGCAGAAAAACATGCAGATATTTCCAAAGCAACGTCTCGACACCAAAATAAAAAAAAAATAAGATTGAAGTATTTATCATCCCAGGTGGAACAGATACATGTTAATGTTACAAACAACAACCATTTGAGTTCGTTTTACTTGGTGATGCTGTTTTACGTTTTAGCAGATACCTTCTTTCCTATGATCGATTGATGATTATCGTCTCCATGGCAAACATTTTCAAGTATTTAAAAACATCAGTTAAGTCAAAAACTTCCTCAAGGAACTGGATTCTCATAAAATACTCTATGATTGCTGGTATCAGTCGTTTTTCTTTGCATTTTCTGTTCTTATGGTTTATACAGGATCAAAAATCATCATTTGCTACAAAGAC